AAACGACCAGAAATCTAGTAGGAGCTTGACCTGAAATTGGTAGAGAACGACCTAAAGGTCATAACGAGCTCAACTGAGCAAAACGAGCTCAACTTGAGAGCAAAACGACATCGACCTGAGAGGTCAAAACGAGCTCAAAAAGCAAAACGACCTCAATTTTAGAGGTCAAAACGAGCTCAATCTGAGCAAAACAAGCTCAACTTGAGAGCAAAACGACCTCGCCTAAGAGGTCAAAACGAGCCAAAAACAAACGACCTCAATTTTAGAGGTCAAAACGACTCTCCCGACCTGAGAGGTCAAAAAGACCGAATGAGCAAAACGACCTCAACTTGAGAGGTCAAACGAGTCAATGAGCAAAACGACCTTGACCTAAAGGTCAAAACGAGCTCAAAAAGCAAAACGACCTCAATTTTAGAGGTCAAAACGACCTCTCCTCGACCTAAGAGGTCCAAACGATTGAATGAGCAAAAAGACCTCAACTTGAGAGGTCAAAACGAGCTCAATGAGCAAAATGACCTCAATTTTAGAGGTCAAAACGAACTCTCCTGACCTGAGAGATCATAACGAGCTCTACTAAGAGCACAAGAGATCAGCGATCTGAAACAGCGATTTGAAGCTAAAGATCTGCGATCTGAAGCTGAGGATCAGGATGCATGGGCGTGCGATCTGCGATGGGCCATGCGACGGAGAACTTTGATGCGTGCGATCTGTGATTTGGCCACGCGATTGGAGAATTTGATGCGCGATCGAAGAATTCTAACGGTGCGATCTACGATCTGGCCACGTGATCGGAGAACTCTGACGCGGGTTTGAGATCTGAGCATGCCATCAAGGAACTTTGATGCAGGTTCGAGAATCGGACCTGCATGGGCCACCAAACTGTTGACGCTTGATTTTGGATGCCAACGACTCGACGTAGGAAACGCTGAGCTGACTCAGGAGACACACGTGATGGATCCATGAGATTTGAATATGGAGCTGAGATTATATATTTTGCAGAAAAATGAATAAAAGTTGGCAAGAGGGGGTTTTTATAGTGGTTCGGATGCAACAAGCGACTCCTACATCCACTGGTATTTATTTGATCTCTCTCTACTTCTATGATTTGCCCGTAAGGCATACAAAGATGAAGAAATACAGTGTTTTACAGAGAGAAAGAATTGAAGCTAAATCTCAGCCCAGCCTCCCTTCTTCGGGAAGAGGGGTGCCCATTTATTCACATTTGACTCAATGCCATGAGAGTTTTGCAAACTGCTTGACACATGGAAGGCTCTCGTCCATTCATCTCTTTGAAATGAGATAAAGTTGGTGAGAATATCTTTGGAGATATGGGCTTGGCAGCTGGTTCAAAGGAGACATTAATTGTGCTGACATAAGCTTGACTTGAGGCATAACATAATTAAGACCGTGGATTTTTTATTCAAGCAAATAAAACATTATTTCTCCACATTCATTTTCTTCTATTTGAATACAATGAATTTAATCTGCAAATTGCAGTCCTACCATGTTGTAAGAATGGACTAAATATGAATGTCCATGTTTTACTAAAAAAAATAATAATAATATAAAATTGACCCACCTTCTAATTCGATTCATGTGGCATATTTTAAAGCTTTTTTTTTTTTTTTTTTTTTTTGGACGTTGTTACTCGTTCTGGCCCTTCAAAGAAGTTTGAATTGACACCATTATGTTGATATAAATTTAGGTCAGATCTGATGCCATGGCCATGGTCAGCCTCATCTATTATTTTTTTAAAACTAAGATGTCGATGAAATCTATCCATCTTATAATGTTTTAATTGAAAATTATAAAGTTTAGTATTATTTATGGGAATCTTTCTCAACATTATACTATCACCACGAGGCTCAATGGAAGACACGTTTTTTATGTAGGCAAAAAGTTATGCTAATACAACTAGATTTGACTCATTAGTTCACCTTTTTACAACTTTAGTTCATATGGGTAATGCAACTAGATTTCATCATTAGTTCACTTTTTTACAACTTTAGGTCATATGGGTAATACACATTTACTATATTCATCATTAGTTCACTTTTTTACAACTTCAGTTCATATGGGTAATACAACTAGATTTCACACAATGTGAACGAATGAGAAAATCCATATAAAAATTATAGTATGCGTTTGTTTAATATTTTTATTCATATTCTGGATCCTATTCTCCAAATAGGTTTGGACAATATTCTAAAATATACCCTATTTTTTTAATTACTTTTAACCCCATAAGGTTATTAATTTCACTAAATACCCCCTGAAAAAAAAGTTTTAAAATTAACAAAAACACCCCCATCAACCCAACTTGTCAGATTCCGGCAACCACCGTTGGTGATAGCCGGAATCTGTACAACAGCCTAATTTCCGACAGAAATGGTCGGAAGTTCAACGCTGTGGCCTTTTCCGACCAGATCACACAGATCTGGTCGGAAAAGGCCAGATCTGGCCGTCAGCGACGGCCAAAGAAATGCCGTCGTTGACTGAAAACGACGGCCACAACTTTGGCCGTCGTTGACGGCCAAAGATGGCCCTCGTTTGGCCTTTTCCGGCCGTCAACGGCCATAACAGCCCGTAGATATGGCCTTTTCCGGCCAGATCCACCATGGATCTGGCCGGAAAAGGCCATAACGACGTGTTACGGCACATATCCGACAAGTCTGTGCCGTAACGAAATTTTCCGGCCAGATTCCGGCGGTGGTGGCCGGAATCTGACACTGCAGGTGGTGGGGGTGTTTTTGTCATTTTATATGTTAGGGTCTTTAGTTAAATTAGTAAACCTAAGGGCTTTTTTATAAATTTTTAAAATTTACCTCGTTATACTCCCATATCCAATAACCCAATACTATCCCTAAAATCATATCCAAAATACTAAACAAAACGCACCCATAAATATTATATTGAACCATAACAAATAATGATAACATACGATACAACATTAAACGCAAAATTTATAATATAAAATTGTTTGATTTTAGTAATATTAACATCGATTTAATTGTCTATTTAAGAGATCCCATTTAAGTGTATATAAATATATACAGAAATAGAAATCTGACGAGACTAAATAGAAGGAAAGCTAGCAGGTGTGTAGTTCACACTTGAGAATATTCAAGAGACAAAGATATTGTTTTGTAATTCCACTATCAAATCACTTTCTATTCAATCTAAATCATCAACTTTATTTATCTTTATGTGTTTGATCATTGATGGTCCAACCATTCATACTAGTTTTCTAGCTCCAGGCTAAACAACATTATGTCGTTCAGATTTCTTGAGTGAATATCTGGTCGAGAAGATCCTAAGAGTGATATTGTCATCTCTTTCAGTTGTCGAACTTTATTTTTAACTTAGAATTAAAAATTAATAAATTAATAAAATAAGATTTTTCATTAAAAAATATTCGATCCACAGTCAAGGATGAAAGTGTCATTTTCTTAATCTTTTGGAACCAAGTGTACTTACATAAAACTATAGGTATCACTTCAGGGGTGTTCAAGAAAATGCAAAAACCGAACTGAAAAACCGGTTAACCAAAAAAATGGTTCCGTTATGGTTCAAGAAATTCAAAAAACCGAATTTTTGGTTTGGGAAAAAATCAAAACCGGTTTATATATATATATATATATTAAATAAAAATAATAATTATATATTAAATAAAATAATAATAATTTAAACTAAATCCTTAAAAAAATTGTTAGTAGTGGTCAATGGATATGTATGAATGTTTAATTTTTATTTGAATATGTATTGTTTATATTTACAATTTAATTTAGGAAAAAATTAAAAAAAAAAAGTTTTATCCAATAAAAAATGGGAAAACCGATTTTCTCCCAAACCGGTTCGGTTTCGGTTCGAGAATTTTCTCGAACCGAAAAACTAGTTCGGTTCAGAAAAGTGGTTAATCAGTTCGGTTAACCACTTTTGAACACCCCTAATCACTTCAGTATCTTTTATGTGTTATATTGTTCAATCGTACAAGCTTCTAGCTTCGATCTAAAGGATTCTGAAAATGACATTCTCATATATATCAATGGACAATATGTATTATCCATTATGTCATTCCATATGGATAAATTCATAAGGTTGTAAAAATAAATTAAAGTTATTTTAAAAAAATGTTAAAAATTAAATGCCCGTCGAAATCTTCCGGTCCCACTTGTATTGTCATGAAACCTAACGGACAAATCTGTTATTATCTTATTCGAGCTAGATTGGTCGCACCTAAGGTTAGCCACCGTCTATAAAAATTTAGTTCCGTTGACTCTGGTCAACGTTGACATTTAATATCAATCTACACCGGCCTATCCATCAATCAACATCCGCCACGTCAGAGTGAAAAAATTAATGAAGATTGTGGACAAAACGAACTTGAACTTCTATTTAACATTAAATCAAATAAATAATCTAAAGGCAAATATGTCGACAGAGCTAGAGCATAGAGGTGGGAAAAGGCCAAATTTATTTTTTATTATTTGAAATAATAAAAATAAAATATGAAGTATTTGATTTAATTTGACATTAAATCAAATAAATAATCTAAACGCAAATATGTCGACAGAGCTAGAGCCGCCAAATTTATTTTTTATTATTTGAAATAATAAAAATAAAATATGAAGAATGTTCTATAACTATCTTTGAGTAACATTGTTAAAATATTTTAATGATCTTTATTCTATTTGATTTTCCAAATAACCATATCTTTTATAATATATAACATTTTTTAGAATATTGAAAATAAAAAAATAGATATATATATATATAAAAGAAAAGGACAGAGCTGAAATAGAAGGCCATGTGGGTAAATTTTTTGTATCTTCATTTTCAAAACAAAACCACCGCCAAAGACACTAAGACAGGACGTTCTCCCACTTGCTTCCGCTGTTAAACATCACCGACTGCTTTAACCCTTCTCCAATATTCTTTTGACTTTGTTTTATCTTAACGTATTCACCTCCCCATCATTAAATTTATATAATTGTAATGGTTTCACAACTCAACTCTGTCTCCCCCCAAATTGATTATCCACTTCTCAACCGTTTAAATGTAAACACTCGATTTAACTTTGCCATGGCGGCGTTCTGTCTTATCCTTATATAAACACTCACCATACCACTATTTCTTTCTTCATAACGAAGAAAATTGTTAACCCTTCTTGTTTATCTCTCCGTTTTCTCGAGAAAAATTTTGTTCTTTTTCATGTGTTGTTGCGTTGTAAAGGTGGCGAGCCAGAAAGGAAAGAACGCGGCGGAGAACAATCCTCAGGTTGATAATGAAAGCTGGCTGTTTGAATATCAACCGTCGGATGAATCTCAGTTATCCGGTAGTCGCGGTGATGAGACGTGGATGCTTTCGAGGGTGAGAAGGGAGAGGGAGATGTCGGCGATGGTGTCTGCGCTGACGCACGTGGTGGCTGGAGATGATTGCGTGCAGCGGCAGAGTCACGACGGTAATGAGTATTTGGTAAATGAATTGATGGATAATATGAATGTTGCTTCAAGTGAAAGCTCCTTGCATGGCGGCGGCTCCTCTTCTTCTTCTTCGCGGAATAGCAGCGGCCATAAAAGAGGAAGAAATCAAAATATTCAAACCACTCAAGATTTGTCTTCTTTAAGAGGTAAGTTTTATTTTCAACACTCTATTAAATATTTTAAAAAATATTATATATTTTATATGAAAATAGAATATATTTTTGAAGATTTGATCATAAAATATATTGTTGTAACTCTCCCTCTCTAAAATGGTAGTATATTAATGTTAAAATTGCATGCAAATCAATAGTATAAATAATAATATACTCAAAATTAAGAGTTAATTTATAATTAATGATTGATTTAATTCTTGTTAATTTTTATACCAACAGAAACCTCAAATTCAACCGTGCAAACAGAAACTACATCATACAACACAAAATATGAGTACACCACCAATAATGGCGACCAACGTCAGAAGAATAATAACAACACCACCATTAACGTTCAAGAACCCAGAAGAAGATACAGAGGAGTGCGGCAGCGGCCGTGGGGGAAATGGGCGGCGGAGATAAGGGATCCATTCAAGGCTGCAAGAGTGTGGTTGGGCACATTTGACACGGCGGAGGATGCAGCCAGAGCTTATGATGAAGCCGCTTTGAGGTTCAGAGGCAATAAGGCCAAGCTAAATTTCCCTGAGAATGTCAAGCTCCGCTCACCGTCCCCCGCCGCCGAGGCGTCGGCAACCCAGTTCACCATTTCCGGTTCTGCACCACCCCTTTTGAGCATTCCCACATCCACTGAACCGATTGTTCACTGTCAACTGGGTGCTCCTGCCCCTATGGTTTTGGATTTTGCTGAATTTCAGAGTCAGCCTTTGAGTTTGTACGACCAGCTTGTGTTTTCTTCTTCATTGTCTTCTAATTTATCGCCGCCGCCGCCACCACCGCATTCGATGTTTCAGCTTCAGCCTCCTTATCATTTCATGCCACCCTCCACTCAGAGTGGTGGTGAAAATTTTCAAATTCCTCCATGGATGAGCTCCCATCAATATCCTCCTAGTTCAGGATAACTTTATATTATACAGTTGAATCATTCTCCCTTACAGACGTTGGCATTTTGAAATTATATAATACAGTTAATTAGACTCTCTTGCAGACGTTCGTATTTTTCCAAAATCCACTTCTTGGCGCAGGCAAAAGTCCATTCTCGTAAATAAAAGTTCATACAATCTTATTTTTTATTGAATCACTGATAATAGTTCATTCCCGTAGATCTACTTTTTTACATATATATGTATATATGCGTGTGTGTGTGTGTGTGTAAAAAAGTAGATTTTAAATCGTCTTAAGTGATTTATACGATATTATTCATTTATGATAATGGAGACTTTGATTACTGTTGCTATATGCCTATATCCAAAGAAAGATTACAAGTAGGAGCAGTCTCTTTCAAAGACTTTTAAAAGAGTACACCTCAACAAGTTATAATTTTTAATTTTTGCCATGATTCATTGCAACCAGTTTCAAATTTCTTCTTTGCCTTCTGGTTAAAGATTACAAGCCCAGTTTGAATAGTTTATGCTCTATACTTTGATGGATATGGACATTTTGAAAGGGGATGTGAAAGAGACAGTGACTTTGTCTAAGGGTTACTCTAATACTTGTTCCTTGAGTATGCAATTCAACACACTTTTCTTTAAAAACAATTGAATGCGTGGAATTTCTGTAAGCACACAGCAAAAGCCCTTGACTTCAACTGTATATAGTAAAAGTTGGGGTGATGTATCCCTCCATTGACCTTTTGATCGAGATATTCAGTAAAAATTGGAATATCATTATCGCTTCATCGGACCTTTCCATAATTCTAAGGTTAAGAAAAGGGGATAACATTACCTTCAATACTCTTATTAAGAGTAACATATTTCGTCCAATAGTTAATCAAAATAAATATAATCATTAGCTTAATGATTGAAAAAGGAGAAAAATGTTAGCAACCAATAACATTAGTAAATTAAGTAATAAAACTTACAAAAATTGATGTGAAAGAAAATGAATAAGAAACTAAATACGATAGATTTTACTTTTTGTATTCACTCTTCTGTTCATTTTATACCAAATCTAAAGAAATATATGTAAAATTTATTTGTACATTAATAAATATCCATTTGCAATCAATCTAAGCATTCGGAATGTTCTTTAAGAAAATACCCGTCTCGTCTACAAAGTACAATCTAACCACTAAAGTGCATTATAAAACCCTTTTTAGGAACTATATTGAATGTTTATAAAAAGATAGTATTAGGTGGGGTGAGTTGAATGATAGATTGTCAAACTATTGAAATAGTTGTGCCATCCCAGATTGACCATCTAGTTAAAACTGGTAAATTGACTGAATATTACTTCTTTCCGATATTTGAGATTGGATAATAATATAATACACACACAAAGTGCACAGTCAATATTTTGAATCTGACTATTTTCATTGACCTCTTTAATAACTCTTATATTAAAAAAAATGACTATTGTCTTTACTTCAAAGGTTAATAACTTTGTCAAACCTCCCAATAATTTTCCTGTCAGAATTATACAAGCGACTTCAAATTAACAGAAACCCTCATTAAATTATCCTGTAAAAGAATTAAAAAAAAAACTCTATTTAAGACATTAAATAGTTTTCGACAATCACTAAGACACTTTAAACTACACTTATCAATCCCTTATTAAAATCATAACAAAAATTAATTTCTAACTGTGAACTTCAATAGACAGAATCTCCACCTTCAAAATAGCCTCTATCTTGGGACATTTAAATTGGGGGCATCCAGGAAAACTTACTTCGACTTACGCTTGGAAGCAACAAAAACAAAACAACTTTCCATTTCAAGAACAAGGCATTACTGTCTGTAGACTACAAGACTCAGAGAGATGTTTCGATTGTTTATAACTAGATCCAAAATTGAGATTCATGAAATTTGCTTGCCCTATGATTTTCTCCTCTGATCCTACTACAGTACTGGTTGATAACTTTATTAATCCTTTGAAATCGAGGGAACAACAATCAAATAACACTATAATGTCATTTCCGATGCAATTTCTAGATATCCATAAGGTTCATTGACTGGTACCTAACTATTTCATGCATCTACTGATAATACTTGCTAGTAAATAAGGTATCATCTGACAAACCGGTTGATTCTGGCACTGGCAATTAACTCTAAATCAGAGGGTTAAAGTAAAACCACAGTTTAAAACACAAATATGGAGGAAACCATGAGAAAGATCAGAATCTTCGTGAAAGCATGAGAAATTATAAACGAACCAAGTGGAGAAATTTAATTTCTTTCCACTGCTACTAAACAAGCCCAATGAGGTTTTTGCTATAGCCAGCAATAAAAGTATGTACTGATAGTATACAACAATCTTTCAGTTTTAGGAAACAAATTCGAGATCTACATTCCCTAACTTCCTACCAACAAAATAACTTCCAGAAAGAACCTGATCATAAATTTGAATGCTTGATCAAACCGGTCGAAGTTGAATTCACATTGATTAAGATCACAATTGAAACCTATCAAGCATAACAAAAGACAGCATGTCACTATGGTCCTCTGTCGTATTCATTGGCACGACATAAAATTACAAAAAAAGAGACATCTACCTGAAAATCGGGCAATGTCGTCATCATCAAACTTTGAGGGCAGCTTTGTGAACCATAGTTTCTTTGTGAATTTGATGGCAACTCTTCTCAACGAGATCAAGTAGCTTCTCCAAGTTTGTTGCCCATGAGTTGAGAATGTCATTGCTATCCTTAGCTACCACAAAACTGACTATTCCTTTTGGCCTGTCAATTTTAGCTACCAGTGCCTTGGACACAACCATATCTGACAGATGCTTCTCCGCATCCTGAATTTATATGCAAAATTTTAGAAAGTCTTAATGCGGATCTGGGAGAAATATTTCATGAAGAAATTCCAAATTCATGCAGCTGTGGCATCACACTAAGCATTAATTAAACATGTTCTGAGGGAGAAAAGGGAGGAAGAAATCAATATTCAGCAGCACAACAGCAACAGAACTGGACCAACAAGAAATGCCTTTGCTTAACTACTACAAAAGCATGCTGCTTTAAGGGCAAGGACTATCCAGCCTCACAGGCCAGCAAAGGTATTTCTTTTCTTTCTCTGTTTGAAACAGTGAGTCACAACAGAAATCACACTATTCGGAAATTATTTCAAGCATTAAAGGTATAAACAGTTATTAAAGTGGCCCATTTTTATAGGCTGTTTATATGCAATTAAGTAAATCACCAAAACTGAAAACTTCAGACATTATCTTTTTCATTGGAATGTGACAGACTGCTAAATTAATCAGATTGTGGACTTTAAGAAAAAGTGATTGTAAAAAAGATCTAATTGGCAATGCAATGAATTGATACCAGAAATCACAACCATCTTTACGAGCTATATGTTTAAAGACAACCCATTGTTGCAAACTACACCATTTCAAGTAAAATTACAAAGTACTGGTTTCTCCCTTGAATCCCACCCACACACAGTGGTCAAAAAGATTTCTCATGGATAAGTTTGACATAAAAATACTTTAACAAATACAAACCTGGATACTGAGACACAACAGCTCTGCAAGTCTCGTCGGGTAATTCTTGAGTAGTACTTTGAAACAACAAGAATATTCTAAAAACTCAAGTGCATTGCCAATGAATAAAGGGGTTCAACAGAGGAAAACAAGAAGCACAAACCTAATTTTAGGCCAGAACTTACTTTCAATTATTCTCTGTCTCAAATCTTCTGCAGCTTTAGGACCCAATGGTCCTCCGAGCATGCTATTTTCATAACAAACTCCTTCTCATATGTTTCCAAAGAGATGTCCCCAGGATGACCTCCATTGTGACCAACTGTTTCAATAGCACCTAAGGCAAAAAGACCAAAAAAAGGCAGGCATCAGTTAAAATAACCTCATAGTTTAACAAGTGACCTAGAGCGAAGATATTCAAGAAAATACATCTACATAAAAGACATACCTAAAATTAGGAATTTCAGAGAGATTCTTATCCTCCAAGAGTTCAAAAGGCTTGTTGCATAGGATCGTGTGGCCAACACCAAATACCAACAGATTTTCCTCAGGACCTGCAAGTTAAAAATAAATAAATGTACAATCACAGATTCCCAGCGGAACCCAGAAGGCATAATTAGGACAAGCTTTACCGGTATCCACTGATCTGGGTTTTCTCTGATTAAGGGATCTCATATATTATTTATAGCACGACAAATTTCAAGGTAATCATTGTGTGAGATAATACCTGCAAAGATGAGAAGAAAAAACATGTTTATGACATGTTCCAACAAAGGCAAGAAAAAAACGACGGTACCATTGTAAACCTATTAGCGATTCTATGATTTAAAAGCATACATAATATGATAATTTCCAAGGAAAAACAACATGATAAAACACCCATCCCAATAAAAGAGTTAGTGAACAAGGAATTCAGTTATGTTATTATTATCATTATCGTAATTATGATATTATACAGAATCAGTTATACTATTCCTTCCATGAATTTGAACACGTGCATGAAGTACTTATAAACCACTAGCATATCGCAGCCAAACAGGAAAGAGGGAAAAAATGAAGCTCAAATTCCAGTGGTGACCTAATCTATTATTTCATAAATCAAACCAAGCTTACAAGTTCATAACATCAAACACCCTAAACTAAACTAGAAATTTTAGATATCTGGGTTGTCAAAGTAGGTATATATCAGAAAACACCTTTGTCGGCTGCTGTAAATGTAGAACAGGGTGTCAAAGACACACATCATTACACACCTCCAAAACAGAAGGCCAAGTAGGTGCAAATATCCTAAGCACCATATATCAAAGTCTATATTATTCTAGTCTATACCTTACTAACAGGAACATTTAAAGTTCAATCTTGAAAGAACACCACCAATCATTCCACCTTTAATGAAGTTCATGATTCCAAGACAAAACAAGATAATACTCAAAATTACTCCAATCTGGCGGCCAAATCCAAAACAAGTAGACTCTATTTTCTGCTCTCTAGATAAAAAGATAAAAGTACACATCTGCCAGAGCCTTATATATCCACAGTATGATTACATTTAG